GGGTAGGGCTGCAGCCCGCCGGTCTCCAGCGGGTTTGTGAGGAGGCTTTGCCCGCACCCCGGCCTCGCCGGCCTGGGCCAGGCCCCCGCGGGGCGCCCGCCTCCGCTTGTGCAGGGAGCGGCCGCCTGACAGGTCCGGGCCGGGGAGTTTCTGCAGGGCAGAGGCTGGAAGCAAGTCCAGGAGATGAGGGGGCAGACGGGGACTGGCAGAGGTCCTGGAAATCTTCGTGTCGTGGATCAGTGTCCTTGAGCAGTGCGTTTTGCAATGGGAGTAGTTATTGGAGGACTTTAATCGAAATTGGGTAGTGTTTTATAGATTAAATTATTTATCTCTTTCTCTTATTCCAAGCCAGTACCTTCTTAGTGGCAATCAAATTTTATTCCAGTATAGGATCTTAATTTAGAGGCTTTTTTTGCGTTTCTTCAGAGCCAGTGGCACTAACAGCCAGGAAGATAAGTTGGTATTATTTGTTCCTATATGTTATAAACAGGATTATTCATTAAATTCCTAACATATCTGTAAGCTGGCTGTAAAAAGTGTCCCTTATGTGGCCTGCAGGTTTCTGTATTAGCAGTCATGCCTGGTGAGAAATGACTCTATCTCACTTTTTCAAGATCCCTGAGACTGCAGGGCACAGAGGTGAATTTGACATTTTCTTGGTCTTATTACCAGAATTCAACTGCGATGGAAGCAATAAGCAATATTACACAAGCACATGTTTTGAAAAGCATAGTGGTTCTGGACTTGAACTTTATACCACGTTGAGACAGCAGGTTTTGTGTTTAGAGGGCAGTGACTAGTAAATTGCAGAGAGCTGCGTAGGTCTGTTGTCTCATTAGCAACTGGGGTTTCGTTTTTACAGCTTACAACTTTTCTGTTGTTGGGGAACGCGGCAGCTCTGTTGTAAACAGCATGTTGGATCATTTTACAGAAAGGGAGAAATGTAATTGGGTGACCTGTGTAACCTACTTGCTTTATAGTGTTTGCAGACTTGAAGAGTGGTTTTACCTTCAGTGATACTGCACTTTGCTGTAGCCGTTTCTTTTGTATTTCAGGGCTGCTTGCTTAGTAAAATGATGAAGGCGTTTGGTTGGAAGACTGCAGTAATTACTTCTGCCCTTAAAAGAGTGCTAAAACTCAGTGATGTACAGGTTTTGCTCTGTTCTCCCTCTTTACTCTCCACTTCTCCCTTCACCTTTAGGAAACTAGCAGGATGCACTCTCTTCATCACGGGTGCAAGCCGGGGCATTGGCAAAGCCATTGCTTTGAAAGCTGCCAAGGATGGTGCAAACATTGTCATAGCTGCCAAGACAGCAGAGCCTCATCCTACTCTTCCAGGGACTATCTACACTGCTGCAGCAGAGAGTAAGTCGTAATAAATTAGGGTGGGCTTCCCGTGCTGGGCTGGGTGTATGCCCTAGCTTAATTGTCATACCTCTCTTAGCTCCAGTTCACCTTTAATAAAATCGGCTTAGTGCTTCTCTTGCCTCCCAGGAATGCTGGGAGGTAGCAAAGCATTACTGTGATGAATATGTATGTGTATAGATGTGAAAATGCTATGTTAATTGAGATGTGTGTGTGTACCATATGCATTCTCAGTGTTAAGGTTTGGTCTTGGCTTCCCTGTTCTTTACACAACGTGTAAAAAGGTTGCAATTTGAGAGTGTGATTTTCAGTGCCTTCTTGAAGCATGTCATTGAATGAGAGAGGCTCAGTAGGTTCATGCTGTTTGTTCCATCTGAGAGCAAATTTTAACATGTTTAATTTTTTAATTGTGCAGTTGAAGCAGCTGGAGGAAAGGCTTTACCATGCGTTGTTAATGTGAGGGAAGAACAACAAATTGTTAATGCTGTGGAGAAAGCTGTGAAGACTTTTGGAGGTATGCTAAGGTGTGGAGGAGATGTTAACGGGCAGATTGTTCAAACAAAAAGAAAAGAATGACCTGCCTTGCTTGTGCTTTTTGTCTTTGAATGCTAATGTGAAATGTTTTATTTTAAAACCAGGGATTGATATTTTGGTGAACAATGCAAGCGCCATCTCTTTGACTGGCACTCTGGAAACAGAAACGAAGAAGCTCAATCTTATGATGGATGTCAATGTACGAGGAACCTACCTGACGTACGTGCTGAGAGAGGGAAGCAAAATAATTGTAGCAAAATATATTATGTTATCTCAGTTTTTCTGAAAAATTCTGTAGCTGTCTTGCTGCCCTAGAGTAGGAGTGCATGTTCTCACAGGAAATCGCTTGGTTATTGGCTGGCTGATTTGAAATTAATATTTGCAAGAATTAATTGCAAGTTGGAGTAAACAGGAACCTTATTACTACAGTCATTAAGTGTTCACAAGCCCCTCTGTGCAGATAGGAAGCATAAACTACTTATTTCAAATGGAGCTCTAGCTTGGCTTTGCTAACTGCAGTCTGCTCTTTAATTTCAAGCAAAATACGTCTTTGCATACATCAAGTGCAACATCTTACGTGTCAGTTTCCTTCTCAAAAGCTTCTTTCTCATCTTCAGAGACATTATATAACTTACTATATTTAAAAGATAAATGTTAAAGATGTAACTTAACAGTCTAAAGTGTTCTCTGCTTACTTTCAGCCTATCAATTCTAAAATTTATTTAAATTACCATACCAAAATTTGATTTCACAATTCCCATGGTCCTTATTTTGCACAGTTTTTGGAAATTGATTCAGTAGGCGGGATCATCTTTAGATTTACAGGATGTCTTTTACAGTTGCTCTGTTTTACAATGAAAACTTTTATTTCGACAGGGTTGTGCTGATAAAAAAAACCAACCCTTAGGTTGATGGAGATTCTCTAAATTCAGTTCTTGCTTGATGTGATCAGGAGCTTTTGTATCAAAGTTTTATTTAGAATAGTATCTGTCATTCTTCGTGTGGATTAATCTGCTTATCAGATATTATGATATTTAATGTTCTTTTGCTAAGAATCAGTGAAGGGATTTGCCATTAGAATAGGGTAAAAACACACATGAAGAGCAGCTTTCTGAATCAGAGAGACACGTGCACAGCATGAGGATAGCATGGAGAGAGGAGGAGAGAGTGGAAGAAAGAAATGATCTGCTTGCAGAGTGGGATTTCTGTCTGCTTTTGGAAGGCTGTAAGTGTAAGTGGTTCTGTGCTCAGAAAGGAAAATTATTTTTGGAGCTTGGCATTCCTGAAAACACTCTGTGGGTATCTCTTGCTAAATCTCTGATTGGGTTCCACTGTGTTGCCCGTGGCAAGCTCTATTTCCCCCTCACCACCTAACAGCCACAATCACTTCCTTGATGGTACATCTCACTATTCCAAATTAATAGAGAATTCTTAAACCCATCTTTCCTTTGAGTGCTCATCTGCCTTAAAAGATTAAAGGGCGGGTTGTGTGTTGCTGCGAATGGAAGAGTATATGAAAGATTAATGCCTCTCAAGGGAAATTACAAATTATCTTTGTTATTGCTTTAATAACTGTCAGTTGGGAAGACCAAGTCAAGCATTTCAACCTTTTCTTCTCTTTGCTTTGTATATTGCTTCTGTTTGTAATTTGTAGATATCTGTTTGCAATTTAATGTTGAGAAAGTTATAATACCAAAAAAAAAAAAAAAGATGTGGATTTTTTTGTCTGTGTGGAGAGTGTAGAGAGGATGTCCCATCTTATGGAGTATACCTGTTGATGTATTCTTGGCTCCTGTGCATTAAGAAATTAAGACATCTGTTAGTGAACCTCACACACTGCCACTGAAAAGAGTTGAGACCCCAAGACATTTAAACAGGTTGTAAATTATTTACTTTACTACCTTAATGATTTTATAGTTGAAGGTGTCCCTTCTGTGGCTGACAGTATGTGTGGGTCCTGTTGAAATGTGCGAATAGGAGGAGGTCAGTAGCGTAGTCTGCTGTCGTGCTGTTCTCCCTGTCAAGCTTGATTAAAAATTCTCAACCAGAGATCAAATGCAAACATGTACCCTGGTGCTAGAAGTGAAGTCAAGTGATAGTTCTTATAAAGTAAAAGTTATGATTTACAGATACGTGTAAATTCTAAGTTGAATGAAATAGTGACTCTTCCAGTCAGCAAGGGTTAGGTTTTCGGCTTTGCTTGGAGTATTTGTAACATCCAATGACAGTAACAATACAGTGTTATTTCTTTAACATGATTTTAAAGAAGAAATATCTATGTGGTCAGAAGATAATATATTTATGACTAAATGATGATCTGCACTGCTAATTTCGCTTGTTGCCTCATAGAGTTTTGTTGCCCCTACCAAAACTATTACAAGGAGATTATGGCTTCTGAGCATCTGGAAAATCAGATTTAGTAGATACAAGGGCAGGGTCTTAGTGTTGAATTTTCATGAAAATGAAAATACTAGTCTGCTAGTATGGTTTTTACTGTAATTACAGGTGTTCCGTAAAATAAGAGGCGACTGAATCTGTCTTTCAGGTCCAAAACATGCCTTCCCTACTTGAGGAAGAGTAGGAATCCCCATATCCTGAACCTCAGCCCACCTATGAATCTGAGTCCCATGTGGTTCAAAAATCATTGTGGTGAGTAACACTGAGTGCCTTTGTTGTTATTTTTTGAGAACCACATAAATACCTGGTGAAATGTGCAGGAGTAGCAGCCCGGAATGCTAAATCTTGTGCCTTTAGCACTACATACAGACAGGCACTAACATTTACCCAGAGTGTTTTGTACCTCACCTAAAATAAATTGTTTTGTGGGAAAAAGTAGTATGAGTTTCGTGGCCTACTATGTCCTTTATGTTTTCAATAATGTTTTCAAGGTAGGAGTCTGTGTTTTTTCATGGGAATTCTTAAAACTGACAAATACTTTCCGTTCCAAATAAAGGCTGGAACCCAAAATCCCTTGTCTTACTGATTCAGCTTCACATTTCATAGTAGAGATAAAGCTCAATGTTGTCTTTTAAAATGGAAATTAGTTTTTAGGTGGGAAAGGGACCCCCTGTTGTCTTGAGGTTAGTGTTCCTCATTCTAAAACTGTAAAAACTTTTCAATTTTGGACACTTGTAATGTTAAACTTCTCCAGCAAATTCCAGTTCTTTCCCCCCAAAGATTTCCCAAAATAGATAGAAGACAAGGATTTAGAATTTCCCTCCCTGCACCCCTCTCGTCTTTTTGTTTTCCATAGAATACAAGTTTGGTCAAAAATGAGCACTCTTGTCAGTGTGCTGTGTATGAAAAGCACAACACCACCACTGTACAGCTAGGCTCCAGTTGTTTGTGTAAAAACACGAGTAGCTCTCATTTTATTTGTAGTGAAAACATGTCAGACTACAGTTTGTATCTGCTGGGGGTGGTGGGGATAAGGGAGAGATTTTGACTCTAGGAAGATACTGTTTTGTCCCCAAAAACTTAATTTTCCTTGTGAACAAATAATGTGGTTTTTCTTTCCTTCATAATTAAAGTTCTGTTGATAGAGTGTAAGATTTTATTTTCTTTATGGTTCTTGTCTTAGCTTATACCATTTCTAAATATGGGATGTCCATGTGTGTCTTGGGAATGGCAGAAGAATTTAAAGGAGAAGTTGCTGTCAATGCTTTATGGCCTAAAACAGGTGATTTATTTTTTTTAATGGTACTAAAATAATTACTTTCCATATTTTGTCTTCTACAGCTTGTTTTATTTAACTTTGATTATACTTCAGACTTTTTCTGAAATTGATTAAGGAGACGGAGGAGTTCTTGTGCATAGTCTTTGTTCATCCATCATGGTACTGGTTTTCCTTCCTGGTTCACACTAGGCCATTGCCACTTTGATCCAAACTCATCTTCAGTTTGCAACCTACTCAAACCTTTCAGCTGGCTGAAGCATCTGTGTAGAATTTGGCTTGTCTGTGCTCTTTCTTCCAAGCCCAAAGATTTGGGTTGGACAGAATCACAGAAGTATTAGCATGCTTTCATTAGTAGGTATTAAATGTCTGTGTATATAGTACTATTTAGAATTCCTTGCAAGTTAAACTGCCAGAGTGTAGATGGAACTGACAAAATACATACCTCTGTAAATGCAGAAATAATTTTTAAAAACCCCTGTTTCTAAAAGTTTTCAGACTGGTAAACAGTTGTTCAGAGAACTATCTGCTTGCAAGTCACAGGAAACTAAAGAGCTTTATAGTAGAAAAACAACCTGATGTTTTATTAACTTCAGTTTCTAGTCTCTGGGTCAGTGAGGATCAGGGCTGCTGTTTGAGGTTTAGTCAGCTGTTTGCTGAACAGACCAGTGTCTTCACCCCAAATATATGTGCGCAGAAATGATACTGATGGTAAAATCAGTAAAGACAGAGGGTAATCCTGCCTTTTAATGATGTGAGCCCAGTCATTGTGTTAAGAAATGTTACAACAGCAGAGTTTATTCCCTTAACTAGTGGAGGGAGGGAGGAGGGAAGAAGAAATAAAAATATGAACCAGGATCCTCTTCTGGGGCTAGTGCTCCAGTGTAAGAAGTGTTTGTACCCACTTTCCAATGTTTTTCTTTTAACTTCTAGTGTGGAAGCTCTCTGATTTGCTTCCTCTAAAGTGAGGAATATGAGCAAAACTTAATTATTTCAGACAAAATCAGCTGAGTTTCTTTGCTTAGGTGATACTCAGTTGAACACTTGGGTTGGTATGTCTGATGGATCTGCTCCTTTTTCATTAGTCTTGGACACTTACATCCTGAATTCTCCCAGTAAATGGATGCTTCATAATTCTGCTCACACTATGAGTTTTACCCTCAGAAATAATTTGGTAAGGGATTGACTTTTTGAATTATATAATTCATGATAATTATATCATCACACAGCCTGTACTTTCTATTTGGAAGAGGATAAGCTCTTCATCATGTTGGTGTACTGAAGGCAGCTGCACATACAGCTTCAGAGTCTGGATTGCCTTTCTGGCAGTGGAGTGAAAGCTCACTTTTCAGGTTTTGGGTCTCTGTTGTATTTTATTTTATTTTTTTTTTTTAATTTCTGAAGGAGTTAGAAGAAACATGCACTTGTTTCCACTTACTTGCTTCTTGAGTGTTCCAGGGAAACCTCAGAAAAGTTTCAGTGGAGATTTCCCAGGTTCTACCTTTATCATCTAGAACAGAGCCATGAAACTTGGTTCTTAACTACACCTCATGCCCATCCTGCCTGGTTTGTCCCTTAAACGCTACTGCTAAGTGAGTTTTATATCTCTTCAGAATCCTATTTCTAGGAGTAATTCGGTTTTTCGTTTGCAGAGGTGATCTTTTATCTACCATTTTGTGGTTTCTGGTCACTGACTGATTAAGCAATGTAAATTGTATATGAGTTAGGGACAGTGAAGGAGTTAATCCAGAGTATCTAATTCAGACAGAGAAATGTGGTGTGAAGCTGCAGACAGCATTACTAATTTGACTAATTTTCTCATGCAAAAGACAAGATGGCCTGTGTCTGGTAAATGCACGTATTTACATGCTGCATAGGCACACTAAGTGCACCCTCCACAGCTTCCTGATCCTTCTACACCTTCTCTCTATGATTCTGGACATGCTGGAGAAAACAGTGGAAATGGGTTGGTGTTTTTATGGGTCCCAGTATATGGTTGAAAGCTACAGAATTCTTCCTTGCAGAGACCAGTGGGTTATAATAGCTCTTTATTTCACAATGTAGGTGTTTTTCCCCCACCTATCTGAATAATTCAGCCTCCTGTTTCTTATGGCAGAGGATAACAGAACCTGGGAGGATTTGTCCGCCTC